TGTACCACGTGTAGTGTAGACAGTATACCATGTGTAGTGTAGACAGTATACCGTGTGTAGTGTGTACCATATGTAGTGCAGAGAGTGTACCACGTGTAGTGTGGATAGTGTACCTTGTGCAGTATAAACGGTGTGCAATGTGTAGTATGGTGTAGACAGCGTACCATGTGTAGTGTCAACAGCGTACCATGTGTAGTGTGGATAGTGTACCTCATGTAGTGTAGTGATGATGGATGTTGTTATATACAGTATAGTGATGCTGGGTGGTGTTATATGTAGTGATGTTGGATGGTGTTATATGTAGTGATGATGGATGGTGTTATATGTAGTGATGGATGATAATATATGTAGTGATGATGGATGGTGTTATATGTAGTGATGATGGATGGTGTTATATGTAGTGATGATGGATGGTGTTATATGTAGTAATGATGGATGATGCTATATGTAGTGATGATGGATGGTGTTATATGTAGTGATGATAGATGATGATGTTATATGTAGTGATGATGGATGGTGTTATATGTAGTAATGATGGATGATGCTATATGTAGTGATGAAGATGACGTTACATGTAGTGACGATGACGGCGTTACAGGGCAGTGATGATGGATGGTGTTATATGTAGTGATGATGGATGGCGTTATATGTAGTGATGATGGATGGTGTTATATGTATTGATGATGGATGTTATTATATGTAGTGATGATGGATGATGTTATATATAGTGATGATGAATGGTGTTATATATAGTGATGATGGATGGTGTTATATGTAGTGATGATGGATGGTGTTATATGTAGTGATGATGGATGATGTTATATATAGTGATGATGGATGGTGTTATATATAGTGATGATGGATGGTGTTATATTTAGTGATGAGGGATGGTGTTATATGTAGTGATGATGGATGGTGTTATATGTAGTGATGATTGATGATGTTATATATAGTGATGATGGATGATGTTATCTATAGTGATGATGGGTGGTGTTATATGTAGTGATGATGGATGGTGTTATATGTAGTGATGATGGATGGTATTATATGTAGTGATGATGGATGATGTTAAATATTGTGATGATGGATGGTGTTATATGTAGTGATGATGGGTGGTGTTATATGTAGTGATGATGGATGGTGTTATATGTAGTGATGATTAATGGTATTATATGAAGTGATGATGGATGATGTTATATATAGTGATGATGGGTGGTGTTATATGTAGTGATGATGGATGGTGTTATATGTAGTGATGATGGATGGTATTATATGTAGTGATGATGGATGATGTTAAATATAGTGATGATGGATGGTGTTATATGTAGTGATGATGGGTGGTGTTATATTTAGTGATGATGGATGGTGTTATATGTAGTGATGATTAATGGTATTATATGTAGTGATGATGGGTGGTGTTATATTTAGTGATGATGGATGGTGTTATATGTAGTGATGATTAATGGTATTATATGCAGTGATGATGGATGGAAGTATATGTAGTGATGATGGATGATGTTATATACAGTATAGTGATGATGGATGGTGTTATATATAGTGATGATGGATGGTGTTTTATATATAGTGATGATGGATGGTGTTATATGTATTAATTATGGGTGGTGTTATATGTAGTGATGATGAATGGTGTTATATGTAGTGATGATGGATGATGTTATATATAGTGATGATTGGTGGTGTTATATATAGTGATGATGGATGGTGTTATATGTAGTGATGATGGATGGTGTTTTATATATAGTGATGATGGATGGTGTTATATGTAGTGATGATGGGTGGTATTATATATAGTGATGATGGATGATGTTATATATAGTGATGATTGGTGGTGTTATATATAGTGATGATGGATGGTGTTATATGTAGTGATGATGGATGGTGTTTTATATATAGTGATGATGGATGGTGTTATATGTAGTGATGATGGGTGGTGTTTTGTGTAGTGATGATGGATGGTGTTATATGTAGTGATAATGGATGGTATTATATGTAGTGATGATGGATGATGTGATATATAGTGATAATGTATGGTGTTATACATAGTGATGAAGGATGGTGTTATATGTAATGATGATGGGTGGTGTTATATACAGTATAGTGATGATGGATGGTGTTATATATAGTGATGATGGATGATGTTATATGTAGTGATGATGGATGGTGTTATATGTAGTGATGATGGATGGTGTTATATGTAGTGATGATGGATGGTGTTATATGTAGTGATGATGTATGATATTATATGTAGTGATGATGGATGGTGTTATATGTAGTGATGATGGATGGTGTTATATGTAGTGATGATGGATGATGTTATATGTAGTGATGATGGATGGTGTTATGTGTGGTGATGATGGATGGTGTTATATGTAGTGATGATGGATGGTGTTATATGTAGTGATGATGGATGGTGTTATATGTCGTGATGAATGATGGTGTTATATGTAGTGATGATTGGTGGATGTTATATATAGTGATGGATGGTGTTATATATTGTGATGATGGATGGTGTTATATGTAGTGATGATGGATGGTGTTATATATAGTGATGATGGATGTTGTTATATGTAGTGATGATGGATGGTGTTATATGTCGTGATGAATGATGGTGTTATATGTAGTGATGATTGGTGGATGTTATATATAGTGATGGATGGTGTTATATGTAGTTATGATGGGTGGTGTTATATGTAGTGATGATGGATGTTGTTATATATAGTGATGATGGATGGTGTTATATGTAGTAATGATGGGTGGTGTTATATGTCACCTTGATGATGATAATGTCTTACACCTGTCACCTTGATGATGATAATGTCTTACACTTGTCACCTTGATAATGATGATGATAATGTCTACACACCTGTCACCTTGATGATTATAATGTCTTACACCTGTCACCTTGATGATGATTATGTCTTACACCTGTCATCTTGATGATAATAATGTCTTACACCTGTCACCTTGATGATGATAATGTCTTACTCCTGTCACCTTGATAATAATGTCTTACACCTGTCACCTTGATGATAATAATGTCTTACTCCTGTCACCTTGATGATAATAATGTCTTACACCTGTCACCTTGATGATAATAATGTCTTACACCTGTCACCTTGATGATAATAATGTCTTACACCTGTTAAATTTAAAAAAAGATGAACATTTAGTCTAAAGGTAAGTAATTTCAACGAAATATTAGAATATAAAGTCGCCTTATAAACATTAGAAAGTAAATAACAGTAAAGATATTGAGTACATAACATTACAGTATTGAATTTTACTGGTACAGTTTGTGCAACTTACCACTTTTCTGCTTAATTGGGAGCATTCTGTGCCATTTTACCTACGAAGAGAGTTGCATGCAAAATAAGTTAATAATAAAAGCATTTCCTCTCATCAGGATTTATTACTGCAAATAAAATGTTTGGGAACTCTACACTGATGATTTAATGTACCAAACAAAAGCGGTGGGTTGGGCTTTTAAAAAAACCTGGAAAGAACATTGTTGTCAACGTTTCACTAAACGTGTAGCTTACCACAGCAACTGCAACATATATGTTTTAGATGGTCTTGACAAATTGAACTTTGACGTAATTGACACTGACTACGGCACTTGCTACTTTTAGCATACTTAGCAGAATACCCAACGTAATGTAGACTATAAGCATGTTTTACATCTACCTCTCTTTTCTGACCCGTAAGAATGAAGCTCGTCAGGCATAACCACGGGGGCAGGTACTGTATTACCAAGTATAATATTGATCTTAGCAATGCTACTCTTTGGCAAATTAACAACCAACCTTCTTTGCTCCATTTATGGATTACACAGAGATTTCACCAACTCCATCCATATGTGAATGAATTTAATCTTCTGGGGTTAATATTTGTGTTCAGTGAAAAAAACTGTCTGTGAATTTACTTTGACAGTATGAAGTATGTAAGAGAAAGCAATGACAGTCCACCTCAGTGATTTAGTGTTGACAGTGTAAAATATTGTCCTTTGGTCAACAATGTCTGTGCCTGCCTTAGTGAAGTCATACAGTTTATAGGTAGCTGGTTTATTTCGACTGCCATCGTTGGTAATTCCTAGCAGAGGAGGTACCGTACCGAGGAGCATAACGTTTTACATGCCCGTAGTCTCTGTATGTATTGCGTAGGAGTTCAAACAGAATTTACCATTTTTTTCCAGTAAACTTCATATGATTTGTCTTGTCTTCCAGTTGTAGCTTGTATTTCTGGGGTATACCTTTCCCATCATCATTAATAGTACCTATGGCAGTCGTACCTTCTGACAGGAGCCAGTCATACAATTCCACACTGGTGTACAGGGCCGGATTCAGGAGTGGGCAAAGTGGGCCTCCTGAATCTGGGGCCTCCACATATCAGGACTGGTCGACTTGAAACCACATGAATGACTCCAGTCATGTCTCACTTTTGTGTGTGTGTGTGTGTTGAGAATTTGTACACTATCAATAAATATACAGTTAATTAAAAATTTCTCAACGTTCTAATTTCCACAATATAACTGCATATGGCTTCAAAATTCTCCAAAGAAGTGTTCAAATTTCAAAATTTTCCCTGGGGCTTACAGCGCGCCCCGGAACTCCCAGATGTTTAGGCTCGCTTCACTCGCCACCCCACCCTCTTGGGTAGTTATAATGAGGGGGGCCTCCACAAAGAGGCTGCCCATGGGCCTCCACAGGTCTAAATCCGGCACTGCTGGTGTACAACCTATCCAGAGTAATAGTCCTACCTCTTATATCTACACAACTCTTCAACTGGTTTACAAGAGCTTTGACAGTAACAACAGTACCCTGTATGTTATGTGATCCAGGTTCTTCAGTAGGTTTACCAGAATACACTCGTTACGAACCCCCTTGTAGCTTACCAGCTGCAAGATATATCACAAGTGTATCAGTGTACAGACAAAACAACAACGGCAGGTAGATTTCCACCAGGTAACAGAAACACAGTTGTGACCTGTATGCTTCTTTAATAATCACTAAATCTTCACAAAACTGTTCAGAACCAGTGTACAATTCCTTAGTCTTTTCACTTTATATAGCTAACGACAATTCCACAATACTTGCACAACAATTATTTATAGCCGTCACTAGGTTTGTACTTGACACTGAGCAGAAACTGGCGAGTTTTTTCCTGGAAGCAGCTCGCTGGCGCTAATATACCTCTCATCAGACGCCCAGAGCATCCTAGCACCATCCAGGCGTTGCAGGTCGAAACGATATACGCCCGGAAAGTTCTAGAATGATCTAGGCCTACAACACATAAGTAAATCATAACAAAAATGATGCAGTACATTCTAGAAATTTCTTACATAGGTAATACATCAATACATACAAAAAAAATATCCCAAAACCTGCCAAAATAACTGCTGCTTGGAAAAGAAAATAAAAAGTATATCTAGTTCACAAAAATTATAACACTAAATTGTGCCTCGGCATAACACACTATCGTCCTGAAAGTAAAGGTGTATCTAACAGCGTTAAAATATTTATACAGAAGGCCATACCGGACCGTCTTGCTCTTGTTATATTGTCGGAAACCTATTCGAGTCCCACACCCATACAAGTTTCATCAACTGTCAAGTAATCATCAGGCTGTAAAACTGAACTTCAGTGTGTGTTGAAGTGTTCAGAGAGGTCCCTTACTACAGCAAATCTACACCTTTGGTGTTGACATGAATAAATTAAAATCTCTTGGCAGACATCACTGCTTCAAATATTGGGTGACCAATTGATTCCCTAAAGAGAACATGGTAGTCATATCTGTTATGTCCAAGTAAACCTAACCTAACCTAACCTGTTGCATAATAGCCCAATAAAACTGCTCAATTCTACAGAGTCAATGAGTCTGATGTGTGAGATCCTTCCTGGCTTCATCTCTCAAGGATACCTGGTTTATTTTTCTTTGGATCTTAACATTCGTATAACTATTATGTCCTCAATCATTTGAGGAGTTATAAGCGAATCCCAACCTTATAGGTGTGTCACTTTTTGCCACGCCTAGTACTCCTCCAGCAGTTAAGATATTTTCAGTTCCCAGCCTATCAGTATGTGAAAGGTTTTTTATTTATCCAGGGAATTTTCCTCTGTTCTCCGCTTTGCCCTCTCTAAGATGGCTGTGTATTCCCTAGTGTCACATGGAAGGAGAATCTCAGAATAGTTATTAAAATTTAAACTGTCTAAAGAATTCACACTCCTGTTTCATATTAATTCATTATCGTGAAGCCATGAGTCAGGGGTTAATATGAGCACGAACAACACTGAGAACCCTGAATGAATCACTTGCCATAGCCTGGTATGAGAAGTCTCGACTGTATGCATTACTCCAGAGCCTAAGTGGCAGGTTCACGAGGATATACGTAATATTTACGAAGTCTAAATTTATGAATTCCTTCTTTAACAACCAATAGGTGAAACAATAATTGAAAAACTGTTCTTACAACAGTCTTGGGAATCACAGGTTGCTTTGAAATATTGTTCGAACTATTACATCTCAGCTTCATTGTCATGAGAACTTCGGGATACTATGGTTCAGGAGCAACTGGCCCTCAAAACGTAGTTTCATCCATCACAGCTTTGAAGGTTTCAGGTGTGGTCATATCGCACGATTCTTTTTCTTCATCTTTGTCCAAGCACTGCAATCCTGCCATCACACAGAAACCCAGTACAAGAGTCAAGAGCCGTAACCAGCCTCCGGTATTCTTGGTTCGTTCCCTCTCCAGAACCTCACAGAAGGTCACATACAAGATCGTGCCTCCAGCGATTGACTGCAGGACGTTGGGAACGAGGACGCTTGCTCCTGTTTCTGTAGTTGAGAGAGACAGCACGAGACATCCTATGAAGCCGCCGATTGGAGAGGCCAAGGAGAAAGTGATCATGGAGGCCAAGAAAGGCCAGAATGTCAACCCGACCTCCAGTAGTTCCATGGAGATGCTGAATGCAATGATGAACTTATGAGCACTAACACCACCGAAGAGGATCCAGACGTCTGTGATGTTGTCTTCGAGACCGATAGCCAGGCCTTCCATGATGCTGTGGAAGGAGAGGGCCGCCACCACCACCACAGCCTCCATCACGGACGTGCTGTTGTTCATATTCCCAGCATGGTGGTGGTGTGGTATAGTGTGAACATTGTGCCTTTGGATATCACTCTCTGTGGGCCTTTGGCAACAGTCTTCACCTTCAAACGTCTCATTCTTGCACCCATCAAGAACTCCACTGCCACTGGTTGAAGACTGCTGGTGGTCAGGATCAAAAAAGCTGTGGATGAGTTCCTCCATCAGATACACGAAGAAAAACCCGGAGCAGAGAATCAGCTGCGCTATGGGGTAGGAGATCCTCCTCATGTACCCGGCATCCATGGCGTATTCATAGTTCTCCTCCGTCTCCGGCAGAAGGTGTAGGAAGACTGTGGCCATGAGTACTCCGCCACCGAAGCACAGACACCCACTGAGTATTGCCTGTAAGTATTAAACAAAGACACCCAGTGAGTATTGTCTGTAGGTGGTAAACAAAGACACCCACTGAGTATTGTCTGTAGGAGGTAAACAAAGACACCCATCGAGTATTGTCTGTAGGTGGTAAACAAAGACACCCAGTGAGTATTGTCTGTAGGTGGTAAACAAAGACACCCAGTGAGTATTGTCTGTAGGTGGTAAACAAAGACACCCAGTGAGTGTGTGTCTGGGTGGTAAAGCAAAAGACGCAGTGAGTGTTATCTGTAAGTGGTAACCAAAGACGCAGTGAGTATTGTCTGTAAGTGTGGTAAACAAAGACGCAGTGAGTATTATCTGTAAGTGGTAAACAAAGACACCCAGTGAGTATTGTCTGTAAGTGGTAAACAAAGACACCCATCGAGTATTGTCTGTAGGTGGTAAACAAAGACACCCAGTGAGTATTGTCTGTAGGTGGTAAACAAAGACACCCAGTGAGTATTGTCTGTAGGTGGTAAACAAAGACACCCAGTGAGTATTATCTGTAAGTGGTAAACAAAGACACCCAGTGAGTATTGTCTGTAAGTGGTAAACAAAGACACCCAGTGAGTATTATCTGTAAGTGGTAAACAAAGACACCCAGTGAGTATTGTCTGTAGGTGGTAAACAAAGACACCCAGTGAGTATTGTCTATAGGTGGTAAACAAAGACACCCAGTGAGTATTGTCTGTAAGTGGTAAACAAAGACACCTACTGAGTATTGTCTGTAAGTGGTAAACAAAGACACCCAGTGAGTATTGTCTGTAGGTGGTAAACAAAGACACCTACTGAGTATTGTCTGTAGGTGGTAAACAAAGACACCCAGTGAGTATTGTCTGTAGGTGGTAAACAAAGACACCTACTGAGTATTGTCTGTAAGTGGTAAACAAAGACACCCAGTGAGTATTGTCTGTAGGTGGTAAACAAAGACACCTACTGAGTATTGTCTGTAAGTGGTAAACAAAGACACCCAGTGAGTATTATCTGTAAGTGGTAAACAAAGACACCCAGTGAGTATTGTCTGTAAGTGGTAAACAAAGACACCCAGTGAGTATTGTCTGTAAGTGGTAACAAAGACACCTGAGTATTGTCTGTGGTAAACAAAGACACCCAGTGAGTATTGTCTGTAAGTGAACAAAGTCAGTGAGTATTGTCTGTAAGTGGTAAACAAAGACACCCAGTGAGTATTGTCTGTAAGTGGTAAACAAAGACACCCAGTGAGTATTGTCTGTAAGTGGTAAACAAAGACACCCAGTGAGTATTATCTGTAAGTGGTAAACAAAGACACCCAGTGAGTATTGTCTGTAAGTGGTAAACAAAGACACCCAGTGAGTATTGTCTGTATGTGGTAAACAAAGACACCCAGTGAGTATTGTCTGTAAGTGGTAAACAAAGACACCTACTGAGTATTGTCTGTAGGTGGTAAACAAAGACACCCAGTGAGTATTGTCTATAGGTGGTAAACAAAGACACCCAGTGAGTATTGTCTGTAAGTGGTAAACAAAGACACCCAGTGAGTATTGTCTATAGGTGGTAAGCAAAGACACCCAGTGAGTATTGTCTGTAAGTGGTAAACAAAGACACCCAGTGAGTATTGTCTGTAGGTGGTAAACAAAGACACCCAGTGAGTATTGTCTATAGGTGGTAAACAAAGACACCCAGTGAGTATTGTCTGTAAGTGGTAAACAAAGACACCTACTGAGTATTGTCTGTAAGTGGTAAACAAAGACACCCAGTGAGTATTGTCTGTAGGTGGTAAACAAAGACACCTACTGAGTATTGTCTGTAAGTGGTAAACAAAGACACCCAGTGAGTATTGTCTGTAGGTGGTAAACAAAGACACCTACTGAGTATTGTCTGTAGGTGGTAAACAAAGACACCCAGTGAGTATTGTCTGTAGGTGGTAAACATAGACACCTACTGAGTATTGTCTGTAAGTGGTAAACAAAGACACCCAGTGAGTATTGTCTGTAAGTGGTAAACAAAGACACCCAGTGAGTATTATCTGTAAGTGGTAAACAAAGACACCTACTGAGTATTGTCTGTAAGTGGTAAACAAAGACACCCAGTGAGTATTGTCTGTAAGTGGTAAACAAAGACACCCAGTGAGTATTGTCTGTAAGTGGTAAACAAAGACACCCAGTGAGTATTATCTGTAAGTGGTAAACAAAGACACCTACTGAGTATTGTCTGTAAGTGGTAAACAAAGACACCCAGTGAGTATTGTCTGTAAGTGGTAAACAACGACACCCACCGAGTATTGTCTGTAAGTGGTAAACAAAGACTTGGTATCGCACACCATAGAAAACGACAGTGAAATAGGGGTGACTGCTGCAATGATTTCAAGGATAATGGGAAGTTTGCTAGTGTAGCCTAAATTTTTGTAACTTAGATGATATGGGATTCCTGGTTAGGGGTGCTAGAGAGGGTCCTATGGCGCTCGTACAATAGGGAGACACAATCCACAAAAATTAATTCATTTTTGTTATTATTATTTTTTTTTTCTGAGTCTGTCTCAGATTTCGGAAACATTAAACTGCGGCATCTCTGTTGATACTAGTCTACTAAATCTACAAAGAACAGATTAATAAATCCTCCCCACCATTTGGGTTTACTTAGGACATTTAGGTTAGGTTAGGTTCGGTTAACCCTCTTTTCATTTCAATAAAGGTGGGTTAAAAGGATTACCTGAAGGTTAGACTTTCCCAGTTCATTTTCACCTGATATATTAGGTTAGGTTAGGTTAGTGTGATTAATCCAAAGATGAAATGAGCTGAGGGGGGCTTATCTTTAGGTTACAATCCTCTATCATTTAAATATAACGAGGGACCACTATCGTTGAACTACACACAAGGATTACTCTCACCTGGCTCTTGTCGCCGTGAATCCTGCTCAGGAGTTTCTTGCGGATGTACAGAGGCAGGAGGGACACGAGAAGCGACACGACGGCCATTAGCGTCAGCGCCCCGGCCTTAGCACCGAATACACTCATTTTGCTCATTTTGTTTACGTGGGGTTCCTCTTCCTGATTGATGCGTGGTTTTAATTGGCGTTCTCTACAGTTTCTCGGGTCGTTTGCGTTCAGGCTGAGATTCAGTGTTTGACGTTTCGTTTTGGGATTTTGTCTTCAGTTTAGGGTTTATTGTAGAGTTCAGTGTATTAAGTTTAGTTCAGTATTCTTCCCTATTATTCATTCCATACTTTATTTTGATGTGTGAACTATTTACTTGTCATTTAAGGTTTTTCTATTTGTGTGCAGTCTTTTAAGGCCAATTTTATTATTGTTGTATGTTCTCTTTACTCGTGTTGCGCCTCTTGGTGATGTCTCCCTCCTAACACTGAAAAAGTGAGAAGATTATTATTAAAAGGTAAAAGTTATCTCATTGAAATAAAACAAAAATTCAATTTGTTTTGTTTTATAAATTAGATAACATATTTTGTGTATTTATTCATGATTTATTTAAAAATATAATTATTGCTAAACCATTTTTCATGTGTTCAATTGAATGAGTAGCATCATTAAATTATTATTCATTAAGTCAGTGGATCAGTCTGGCAGTCATTTGGTTAGCGTTAATAAATCGGTTAGTTGGTTAATCAGTCAATCATTGAGTCAGTAAATGAACCATTCGGGAAATTAGAAATGCCAGTCAACCTTTCATTTAGCGAGTGAGAGAGCAAATGAGGCAATAAGTTCCTCAGTCAGTTGTCTGTGAGCGTCTTAGCTGAGAGCAACAACAACGTACAACTGCGCACAACATTCCCTGGTTACTATTATCTCTGGCATTCATTTACTTTGGCGTCCTGTACGAGAAGAGAGATTGTAGACATCAATTTACTCATATTTCTTTTCTTTGTATTATATAATTATTTAAATGTAGATTATGATATAATTTATGATGAAAAGCAGTGGTCACTAAACCATCGTTTATAACGAAAAGCAACACTCGTCAGCTAAATACAACATAATTTATAACAAAAGGAAGGCTATAGGTAGAAGAATAAATCGTGTTGACGTTTACCTCAGAGATTATTATAAGGTATTGGCCAGTAGGATTAAGACCGAGATAAGAAAAGTAAAGAGGAATAATGAACTGAAAGTAGCAAAGGGGGCGAAGTCAAACCTCAAGGGATTTTATCAAATGTATCAAACTAAAACACGAGAAAAGATTGGACCAGTACAGTCAGATACCGGTGAGCTAACTGATAACGACGGAGAAATGAGCAATAATCTGAATAAATATATTTCAACAGTATTCACCACCGAAATTGTAAACATGATACCCGAGGCACCGACTATATACACAGAAGTAGTGAAGAAATAGATTAAGCGAGTTAGTAGTGACCAGCAAATAGACAAACTGAAGCCTAATAAGTCACCAGGTCCCAATGAGATACTTGCCAGAGTATTAAAGGAATGTAAGGAAGAGCTTAGTATCCCCTTCGCAAAGTCGTGTAACATATCCTTAAAAACGGGTGTATTACCAGAATCCTGGAGGTTAGCGAATGTAATACCGATTTTCAAGAAGGGAGATAGATCAATATCCTCTAACTACTGTCCAAACTCTATTCGAGATCACCTGGAGAAGCACAAGTTGATCAATGAATCCCAACATGGCTTCACAAGAGGGCGTTCATGTCTAACTAATCTATTAACATTCTTTGCAGCTGTTTTCGAATCAGTGGACGACGGGTGTGACTATGATGTGGTATATCTAGACTTTAGCAAAGCCTTCGACAGTCCCCCAAGAAAGACTAATAAGAAAAGTGGAGGCTCGTGGCATTGGAGGAGATATTCTAAAATGGATTAGGGCGTGGTTACAGGGGCCTGATACTCAAAACACCTCATAAGTTACGTCTTTCAGCATGATACAGTACCATATATTGTCGAATCTTTACAGTACCGTAAATCTAGTATACTCAAAATTTAATTACAGTTCCGTAAGCCTTTCGTAAGTTTTCATAACTCTAGTGTTTGCCCTGTAAATTAAGTTCTCTTGTCGGAAGGTAGATGTCAGTGCAGGAGCTAGTTGGCCAATCAGCGCTCAGTTAACAAAATCATCAACCAATCACAAGAGAAGGAGAAATCAGCTGAGAGCGACGCACATATTATTATTTTGTAAACATGGAAGGACCACCAGCCAAGAAGAGACGGCCAAATTTCAGTGAGGCTGAAGTATACGCTATTGTGTCTGAGGTGACCAAAAGAAAAGAAATGATTTTAGGGAAGTTGGACTCTAGTAGATGTACACTTCAATTCAAAAACCATGCCTGGGGTGAAGTGTTAAATGCGGTGAATGCTGTTGCTAGAGTCCCCGCAATGTTGTTGAAGTTCGGCGGAAGTTTTCAGAAAGAGCGAGTGAGCATTAACGGCACTAAATCCGATTGGGGTAGAATCACTAGTGGAGTACCCCAGGGCTCAGTACTTGGACCATTATTATTTATTATATACATAAACGACATAGATATAGGCGTAGACAACAACATAAGTAAATTTGCTGATGACACTAAAATAGTGTGTGTATTTTTTTTTTTTTTTATTGGACACTCCCCTACATCCTTGTGTAAGGTGAAGCGCAGAAGCGTTTACAGTGCCCAACAGGGAAGCATGCTAAGTTCATGCTTGCCTTTATGTCTCATGAGTTAAGGGCGTAGGAGCCTGAAGAGTCAAAGGCATAGAAGCCTGAAGAGTCAAGGGCATAGAAGCCTGAAGAATCAAGGGCATAGAAACCTGAAGAGTCAATGGTCTTGTCATCAAGTTATTGGAAGCTCCAACAACTTGTCCCTGCCGAGTACCAGGGCAGAAACACAAGGTGGAGATGGATTTACTGTAAAGACATCAACATTAGGGGACTCTACTGGGGAAGGGTCAACACTAGGCAGCTCTACAGGTCGCTGGAAACGACGGTTCCTCCACCATACTCTACCACTAGGAAGACGCACTTGGTAGTCCCTGGACCGGCCAATACCCATGACAACCCCAACCTTGTCCCAGTGGTGAGATACCGGATCTTGAATCCTGACCTGCTGGCCGATACTCAACCTGGGAAGGGGGCGGGCATGACAGTCGTACCGAGCAGCGACATCTGCGGCTCGTTCTGCTGCATGGCGGTCACATTCTTCAGTCTTGGCTTGCCATTCTTGAGAAAAAGACTTCGGGTGGGCAGGAACACAAGACCTGAGATGATGTCCATACAGAACCTGGGCTGGGGAGCGTCCGGTGAAGTTCGGGGTGTTGCGTAACTCCAACAAACCTCGATCGAAGTCCTCGCAGTCGATATTTCCTGAGGGTGACACCTTAAGGATCAGGTGTTTCACAGTCTTGACTGCGGCTTCAGCGTGTCCATTTGCCTGGGGGTAGTGGGGAGAGGTCACGACATGACGGACTTCCCAACGGTCCATGAGGTCCCGGAACTCGTGGCTGATGAACTGGGGTCCTCCATCAGTCCTGAGACGGAGGAGAACACCAACTTCTCTGAAGTAATGTCTGAAATTCCAGATGGTAGCAGTAGCCGTTGTATCACTACCACAGGGGACGACAACAGGCCATCCAGACAATCGGTCGGCAATGACGAGGAAGGACTTCCCTGCTGCTGCAAAGAAGTCGGCCGATACAGACTCAAAGGGTCTTGAAGGGTTATCGTCGCACATTAAAGGTTCCTGTTGCTGGCTGGGTTGCAGAATCTGGCACGGCTCACAGGCAAGGACGGTACTTGCAATGTCCGCGTCGATTCCGGGCCAAAATACAGTCTGCTTCGCCCGTCGCTTGGTGGCCTCCACTCCTCGATGGCTGTCGTGAAGGTGGGTCAAGGTACGGCGGCGTAGGGCAGCAGGAATGACTACTCGTGGACCATACAAGACGAAGTCTCCGTCACAATAGAGGTCCTCGCGTATCTTCCAGTACGGGAGTAGCGATTCATGAAGGTCGTGTCGGTTAGATGGAAATCCCTGGGACACACAGTCGACGAGCCGGATGTAGGAAGGGTCGGCCCGGGCTGTGGTGCGGAGATCTTCAAGGGTCTTGTCTGCATCCGGTGCTGTAGACTCTTCTGATGTGAAGACGGCCTTCAATGAGACTACTGACTTGAGGGATGCGGCAGCTGTAGAACACAACATCTCGTCCTCTGGGGTGGGGCGACTGACAGGGGTGCGGGACAGAGCATCCGGGTTGCACAGCAGCTTACCTGCACGCCACACAGCCGTGAAGAGATAAGGCGAGAGTTTCTTTTTCAAACGTTGAAGGCGAGGATTCTCTACTGCATCCAAAGAGTAGTGATTGATAATAGGTACAAGAGGGCGATGATCCGTGAAGAGGGTGAAGTGCTGAAGTCTTATCAGGTAGAAGCGGCACTTCGCCATCGCCCAGACAACAGCCAACATCTCCAGCTCAATCGTGGCATATCGGGTCTCGGCGTCCGTCAGGAACCGGGATCCACACTGAATTAAGTGGAGTTGTCCACCGCCATGGTCCTGCAGAAGGGCGTAACCAACGCCGTAGAGTCTGGAGGCGTCAGTCTGGAGGACGGTGGGTAGGGCTGGGTCGCAACAGGCGAGGACAGGTGGACCTAAGAGGGTCTGCTTGACTCGCTGGAAGGCCTCTTGATGATCTGGGCTCCACAGGAATGTCCTCCTGGGGCTCAGCAGGGGGCGTAACGGCTGGGCTGCGGCGGAGATGTCAGGTGAAAATTCAGCCAGCTGATTGACCAGACCCAAAAAAGAACGGAGGTCTGTCAGGTTGGCAGGGGTTGGAAAATCCCTGATTCCACTTAATTTCTCCGGGTCAGCTGCGATACCTGATGCTGAGAGAGTGCACCCACATAAGTTCACTGATGGTGCGGCGACTACAAACTTGTCAGCGTTGAGGGGTAATCCTGTACCTTCGACATCTGGTGAGAACTTCATATATTCGGAAGAGGTGGGTACAGTAGTCTTCGTCATGGAGTAAAATATCATCAACCACCTTGACACAATTCGTGACTCCTTGAAGGGCCGCGTCACCACGTTGACAGAATGCATCGCCCGTAGTGGCAAATCCCATGGGGCCTCTGCAATACTGATATCTTCCTTATGGTGTGATGAATGTAGACAAATGCTGGTCTTCTTCGGCCAACTCGATCTGCCAATAACCACATAAGGCGTCCATCGTTGTAAAAAACTTCGCCTTCGGGTCCACATTTCGAACAGCTGCGAAGGGTGTGGGTGAAGGGTGGGCTGGACGGGAAACTTGCTGGTTAAGTTTTGATAGATCGGTGGTGATTCGTACTCCACCACGAGGTTTGGCGACGGGGACGAGAGGGTGGCACCAAGGTGAAGGTTCGTCTCCGGCCGGCTTGATGAT